TTTGACAAAAATTCAGGGCAAAAGCCCCCTCACGATTTTTCATCGGAAAAGAAGTTTTTTTGAATTTGACTTTTCTTACTTCTATTAAAACTTGGCACATAATAACACAATATTATGCAAAAATAACCATTTTTTAACTCATAAGACCAAATGTCCGCCCGCTCTATGGAAAAGTGCCCACTGTGCCCAGTCACTTTTCGAAGTTCAGAAAGTTAAGATAGAGTCGAAATTTGGGCGCTTTTCAAAATGGTGGGTGGCTTTTGTATTTTCTAATTTAAAAATTAAGTTTAAGGAACTAAGTGTTTCTAAGTCTTATCCCAAGTAAAAGTAGATGCTGAACAACTTTGTCACCCATGCGTGTCAGAAGAGAAACTGCAGATAAGAACCCGAAAAAGCACACTTTTTGCACTGAAATCCCGTTTTCGCGATGAAAGTTAAATTCCTCCGGAGAAACTCGTCCGGGTGCTGATTTCCGAATATGGGTTTCAAACTGCTCTCTACAAATTGGCAGAACTTGGGCCAAATCCAAATGGGGAGACTCACCTCCCTTAACTATTGTTTATACTGGACATTAAACACTACTTTATAGTTAGTCATTTTTTTAATTTATAAGAAATGAATATTTATTATATTTTTGAAAAGTAGGTAAATGTAAAAGATCTTCCTAAGTACGAAATCAACAGGTCTTAACCATATTCTCTTTTTATTTATTTAATGAAATCTGTGATCAGTTATGGAAGTTTTTTCAATATCAAAGTGGACTCAGAAAATCGAAATTAGAGAAAAATAAAATTTTAAATAAAATATTAAACGTAAGAATTTTGTTATTTAATTTATTCTTCTCATATTTAATTCCTTAATCAGATATTATCGAAATACATTTTTTGTTTTAGGTTGTTTTAGATGCAGTACATTTGATATTGAAGAATATATGATTGGCAAACTGATTTATACTTCCTTCAACTTCGATAAAGTGAAATTGTATAAAACATTAAAGATTTCATCTTTCAAACATCTAGTTCGAATGAGTACGTTAAAAAATAGAAATGAAATTTTAGTTTTTGACTACAATTTATATGAATTCTATCATGGTTTATCTCATCTCATTAATTTGGATAGTAGCTATTTGAAAACAATGAAGATTTCTATTCCTCAAAAATCTATAGATATTAACTAGTTTAATTATAATGGACCGGTAGCTATTTGCTCAAACAATGAAACACACATACTTGTGGTTTATGCTCAGGGAAAAATCTTTTTATTTGATTCAAATATGAATTTTAAAACACATAATGCAAACTGGAGTCGTTTTGGAGCTGCTGATAACTATCCATCGCATATGATAACAGATACTGAATATAGTTATAATAGAAGTTATTTAACATACACAAATTGCCTCATGATTTTGAATGCCACAGGTGAATATCCATCCACAGAAGGAAATTGATTCCCATGGTGGAACGCCAGGTTTTACTTATTATAATGAACTAAAGAGTCTATATATTCCTCAAGCAAAGGAAATACAACATTGTAAAAACAAAATTTTTACACTTGATATGGATCATCAACTGACTTATGCACATTCGAGTTGTCCACCCTCCCATTAGAGTTTGGCCCAAACTCCTTCAGTTTATAGAGAACGGTTGAAAATCTATATCCTAAAAATTTTTCAGCTTACGGACTTGTAGTTTTGGAGAAAACAGGTTTTTACGCTTTTTCGACTTTTTTACCTATTTTTTCAAATTTCAATAAAATTTTCAGATTTCAATTTTGAAGACTCGATTCTTGTGCCATTCGTTAGAGTTCATCAAGTTAGGTAAACACAAAAATTTTCATGACTCGGAGGCGGCTATTGACAGAGAAATTTAACGCTCACCTTGAAAACGGGATTTCGGCGCAAACAGCGTGGTTTGTCGAGTTCTTGTCTGCAGTTTTCTCTTCTGAGAAGCATTTTGAAGCCAGTAGTGGATCGAGGGGGTGGAAGATCCAGCAAAGGTGACTACTAAAGTGGAGCTTTTGAGTGCTCACTATGCCCGTTCCATACTTAAAATAAAATGAAGTTGTCTAGGCGACAGAATACAGAATGTTCACAGGCGTGGACATTAGGAGGAACAACATGAAAAACGCAATTATTTTCTTTGTGTTGTCCGTACTTGTTCTGTCAAAATTCAACATTTTCAAAAAATAAGGTCATACTCGGAGTCAGGATCAAAAACTGGATCGAACGACATGGGTCTCAGTGTTTTGGGAAATATTTGGAGTTTGAGTGAAAATTCTAGTTTTGAATTTTTGATAAAAACGAAAATTTTCGAGGTCATTCAAAACTTCTAGCATCCATGTACCCATGTCATTCGATCTAGTTCTTGACCCTGAATCTGAATATGACCTTTCTTTTGTCAAAATCCCAAAGTACAGGTCGATTTCAGATTTTCTCACGCTGAAATCATAAAACTTGAATTTTTCGACAACCAAGTAAAACTTTTCAAAATCGGTACATACTTTTTTTCTCATAAGTATATAAGTGAGAATGAAGTATAAAAGAGAATTTTATGTTCCAGATCCTAGGACTAGATAGGTTCGCAAGATTGGCTAGCGGATCTTTTATCATCCTGCTCGTCTTCAACGGTTTTCGCAGTCAATTTGAGTTTTAAAATTTCCAAAATCCGTGTTCTAGACCCAGTTTTTGATGGAGAGTAAGAAAACATTTTCTGGGAATTTTAAAAATAGAATGAATGGTTGAATTTTGAGTTTTATTCAAAATTTTGCCTATGTTCACATATTTTGAAAAATCGATATTTAAAATTTGTTAAAAAATGTGTCCCAAAATTCGGAGATTAAGTTCTTTCTATACAATTCGATGTGCTACTAAATAATATGATAGTTGAAAATAAATTTCTTCTTCTTTTATTTGAATAATAAAAGGAGAAGAATAAAAAAACTTGAATGAAAGAAAAACCGAAAACTCTACTTTTTGAAAAGCAAAGTGAAAAGAAAATAGATTACAATTTTTTGAGAAAAAGAAACAAAAGTCATTTTTCGAAGAACGAAATTAGGTTCGATTACGAGTCGTTTTTCGTGTAGCGCAGAAACGGAAATTAATTCTTTATGAGCTGATTTCTTAGCGAAACTCTCTCTCTCTCTTTCTTCACACATTCCGCCCAATGAAATTTTTACCTTTCTCCACTCGAAAGGCAAAAGAGAAAACAAATTTAATAACTGAAAAGCGGCCATTACAGGGGGACCTTAACAGTGAAATTAATAAATAATCTGTTTGAGCAACGTCATAGAAGGCTGTCAGAAGTTAGATGTTGAATTTCCAGTTATCACTTAGAATGAACGAGTTAGTTCTAAACATATTTTCTTTTTCTGTTTCCGTCCCGGTGTTCATGTCATGTATAACTACATGATGTAATACGGCAAGGAAGAACACCGAAATCGACTTGAGATAGAAAAAAATTTAGAACGAAGAGAAATAAAGTGGCACACAAACAGGTTTCCGTTGTAGACTTATTCCTTTACATCTGTTCTACTATTTCCAAAACATTGTGCTATCTCAGTACCCTCCGTGTTTCGTAAACATGTTTTCTTCAGATCTTATGGTATTCCATAAACTGCAAAGTCATTTAGACGTTCATTAATTTTAGCTATTTGATTTTTGTAGCCAGAAAAGATTCTGCTTCAGCGCCATATGTTTTGCAAAGACTATTTACAAAAAGAAATGAGTATGAATAAGAACTGGTATAGAACATACAAATGTATTGCCCAAATAGAAACTGCTTTCAACAATCTTTTGTAACTCTCAAAATGACAGTCTGTCATTTTGATGAAGTATTGTAACGTCCAGAAAACTTTTAGATCTTTTAAATAACGTGTCGCTATGATATCATTGGGAGAAGACAAAAGATTACAAGAGTATTAGTTAAGAGTGGTTAATTTGCTCTGTAATGTATGTGTGACAGTGGAAACTGGAATTCAGGGGAATTCGGAATTCCACTAGTGAAAATTGGGATTCTAATTTCCACTATAAGGGAATTCCGAATTCCACTAGAAATAAAAATCATACAGAGTATTATAATGTACATTATAGTGGAAATCGGAATTTACTATATTTTCCCAGAAGTTCCTAGAATTTAAACTTTGGTAAACCCCATCCCTCTTGCAACGTTAATACCATATCTTCACCCAGGTAAAAGATTTATTACCATATACTATTCGTCGTATTTTGACGTAAACCCGGCCACCGTATTACGTCCATCGTAAACGACGTCGTTTACATTCAAATACGACGAAATACGACGGTCGTAACGGCTGACGTAATACGTTGGCCGGGTTTACGTCAAAATACGACGAAATACTACGGTATACGTCAGATTATGTCGTCGTAATTTGACGTATACGACCGTGTAGGACAATCATGGACCTGGGCATACATTGCTTATTTAAATACAAATTTATTACGAAATTTTTCATTCATATTTTGAATATGAACATCGAGCTTTTCATAGAAGAGTTCCACTGTGAAAAGATTTATTCACGTGCGTACACGAAATTGTAAAATTTGTATTCAATAGTTACCCTATGAGACTATTTTCTTTTGGTGCATTTCTCTCACTTGTTTTTTCCGGCGGGCCAGTTTATTTCAATTTCAACTATAGTGAAGATCGGGATGTTCTATTTTTTCTCCTGCTCCATTAAGGGCCTCATAATAGCTTTTTGTATAGTTCAATTCTTTCTATTTTTACTTCTATTGACACTGTATTATAGTAAGTTTCGATTTCCACTATTAGAACATAGTTTCGATTTCTATATTAGAATAATCTGTATGATTTTTATTTCTAGTGGAATTCGGAATTCCCTTATAGTGGAAATTAGAATCCCAATTTCCACTAGTGGAATTTCGAATTCCCCTAAATTCCAGTTTCCACTGTCACATATGCGTTAAAATATTGGAGCTATAAGGACTGATTATGGTCGGAAAACAAAGTTTTTTTCTACTAAGAATGATGATCATCCGCAGTGGAGATGTTGGAAGAGAAGGTGAACATCAGGTGTATGTTGATCGAGCATTATGGGGAGGCGATTGTGGCGATTCCGAATTAGCTAAACACAGTATATCTACAGATGAATATCACATTAGGTTTGGTGGGACTGTCACCTATGATAGAGAACAGAATAAATATAGGCGAAAAGGCTGGAAACGATATACTCATTGGTTAATAACGGATATAAAAACGGCTTACAAACACGTAATTCTGGTTAAGCACGTGGACATGAGCTTTACAATTGGTAAACACTTTCTCGATAGGTTTTCCACGATGTTCTATCTAGTGGAATGGTTTTTGAGTCTTGGAATAGGTTTCTAGGTGGTTTCCCAGAAATCAGGTCTCCAGAAAACCACTTAGAAAACCTCTTCAAAGCTAGAACCATTGAAAAGAGCATCGTAGAAAACCTATAAAAAAGTGTTTAAATGCTTTGATCTTCTTTTTAATTAGAATTTTCATAATTTACGCAAAATATTTGAGCTACGCAGGCTTCAGCCTCAGAAATTAATGGAATTTAAAAGTATGCGCCCTAGAATGGATAATTTATGTACCATTCGACGCAGTTTTTTGCTCTGATTCCGAATATGTTATCGGTTATTAGTTTTGATGTTAGTAAGCAGAAAAACCTCGGATTTTCCCCAAAAACAGAGAGTTTTTGGAAAACCTATAGCTCAGGTCAGGAGCATTTGGGTTATTTTGGGCTTATAGCATCGATATATCGTTAGTAGATGCATGTTTGGTAAAAATTTCGTCTCGTTTGGAACTTCGGAAAAAATCGGAAATCGACTATACTGAGGTCTGCTCTTTGGAAATCACTAAGCACAAAAAGAAATTTTTTTTCTCGCTGATAAAGCGTCCAAAAAAAATTTTTTTATGAGTAGACAGAGTGGAAGATCTAATTTCGCAGTATATATAAGTTTCGCAAATATCACTGTTTTACCAAAACTAATTGTTGCCGCATCATCGCTCTGTTTTCCGACAAAAATTTTATTCTCTGCTTTCTCGCTAATTTTAACATCTAGAAAAAACTTTCAATGGCAAAAAGAGAGAGTATTTGCCGAAGTATATACTCTGTTATTTGAATTTGCCAAAAGTCCACTTTCGTTTTTTCATCTGATGTCCACATGGCTGCCCATTGTGCCATCTTCATCTTGGATGAGTGAGTTATCCACAATTTATAAAATTAGCAAAGAGGACATCTACCAAACGTATTCATATATTCCATGATCTCCTCTATTAAACAATAGTACAAAATCAGAGAAGAAAATGTTATTTTTAGTTGTTGATAGAAGATAAGTTTCTCTCATTCATTTGATGCTGACAGTTATAGGTTGAGATATTTTCTGCTTTAGATTAACGAAAGATATTATTTGTATATATGAAGCACATATGATCTGACAGAGGATGAAAAACAGACATTTGTGTGTTGATAGTTAGATAAGATCAAGCTGAAAAATCGGTTCGTTTTTTTCTCTTTCTTTTTCACTCGCCCTTGTCAGTGTAATAAAGTATTTAGAATTAATCGGTTGTTATTTATCCTTACGTTAGAGCCCATCTGAATTCATGTCTAAAAGTTCGAATCATCCACAATACTTGCAAACGTGTATTTATCACCACCAGCATTCCATCGAAGTCTTATTGCTATTGACTACAAAGAATAGAAGTAAAATGGTATAGTATTTATGACATCTTCTCAGTTTGCAAGCTAATTGTCTCTTTATATATTTTTCAATTTCTCATTTTGCAAATCAATTGATTAAGAAAAAACTATAGATTCTTTCGTTCTATAAGTAATCGACAGGAAAACGTGCAATTATGATATGATATTAAAGAAAAGCGTCGCCGTAATATAATTTTATGCGTCCTTTTTTCCACCAACCTCAAAAAAATCCTTATACGCTACGCGCCTTATATGGTGAGGAAATCTTCAAACTCTTACTAATTGACAAAACAGTTGTTCCTGTATGATGAACTTGCCTTATACATTGCCAATGATGAGCACTCTTTTTATTAATCCACCATACCGCATATTCGTTTCTATCCACATGTAGATGCTTCTTACCACTATGACTATCATCAATTGAAAATTGCATAACTTTTGATTCAAAGAAGAACGAGTATTACAGTATTGTGGCATTTCGGCTTGATCACGTAACTCTGCTACCGCAGTGTAATTCCGTTATGATTTTTTTGCATTTTGTTTCTTCTATAATTCGTGAATGAGGACAAATCCAAGGCTCTCCAAAGTCTCATATCAAAGTGAAAAGTGTTTCGAATATTTTGAGACTTTGGCGTACTCTACAGATTACTCTGTTTACGAAACTATACGGCTACTTTTCCAGATAAGTTTTGAAAAGTCGCATTTTGCATTTCTGGTATAGTTCTTAAACAGAAGAACCTGTAGAGTATGCCAAAGTCTCAAAATATTCAGAACACTTTTCTCTTTGATATGAGATTTTGGAGAGCTCTGGACTTGTCCTCATTCAAGAATCATAGAAGAAACAAAATGCAAAAAAATTATGATAGAATTACACTGCGGTAGCAGTTAGGTGATCAGGCTGATCATCATTTTACAGGCTTCGATGAATAATCTGTTGTCTTAGACGCCTGAATCCGAAACTTTGAATTAAATGAGTAGCCCTCTTCTGAAAAACTGACAACATTCGCATTTTAAGAACACGTCGAAACACTTTCTCTATACTGAAATCGACTTTGCGATAATGTGATTTTAACTAAGGAATAATTTACAGTTATCCTCAGCTGATACTCTTCGATCGAGCTGAAATCAAATGTTGCCGACATGATATTCACCATCTGTGATGCAAGAATTATACTCTACTTTTAGACAATTTCCTTACTAATATTTAAATTGCGAATCGTTAAATTTATTTCTATTCCGTGTCTTCGGATTTTTCTTACCGAAAAAACAATGCTTTCTCTAAACTCCATTTTGTTGATCTTAACCATTAATTTATTTTATTCAATGTTAAACGTTGAGTCGTCCTGTATGATAAGCCAAGCAATTGGAGTACCATCAAGTAAGTGTTACACTAACTATTTATCTAACTTCTCTCGTGGTATGATTCTTTTGCAATAGAACATGGTAAAATAGATACTTTTTGTGACTATAAGGGTATAAAATTAATGCCTGGAAGTAAGTTTAGAACAACGGCTCCCGATTGTATGGAATGCAAGTGTACAAAAACGTCGATGAGTTGTTGTGGGTAAGTCACCATCATAAAAGAAGTAATCGAAGATAATTGTACTACCGAACTTCTGTTTATGATTCAATAACTTATAAATTATTAGCTCCAAGTATAAAGATGTATGGCGTTCTTGTCAACAGCTTCTTTATATTTTTGACCTTCGATATGAAATATATTTCATGGAGTTGTCTTGTTCTCCTAAAGGAAAAGTGACAGATTCTTAACAAGTTAATCTGTCAACATTCATGATAGGTAACCCTCGTTTCTAACAACAGAAGAATCGCGGGACGGGATCCGCAGTAAGAATTTTTGAAAACTTAATGAGAGACGGGACGATGAAGAGGCAAGAATTGCAAGAGACGAAATCCGCAGGAGACATTTTTTGCTTCTTAGCAAAGGACGAAATGGAGACGCTGGACGGAATTCTTTTCAGTTCACTTGAAAAATATGTTTGTTTAGTAGAGGACATCTACCTTGCACATTGCACTTTCCTGAAGTGAAAGCTAAAGCTCTAATAGTAACAGTTGTATATTATAAAGACTAGTTCTATCCATCCTATTTTATTTGTTCTTCTGTGACAGAAGAACAAATAAAATAACATAACAGAAGTTCTGTCTTCGTATTACGTGTCCTGTATATAAGACATCTTAGTTATTTGATTTTCTCTTTTACGGATTTTCGCTCTCTCTCTCATTTTATTCTTTGACCTATTTCTCTTTCTTAAATTATTAATAGAACAATCTATTCAGTCTAGACGGTCTAATAGACTGAATAGATTGTTCTATTTTCTCTGTCTATTTCTCTTTGTAGTTATTTTCTCTTTCTTTTTCTCTTTTGTTTTCTACTGTTCTTTCGTTTTCTTGCGCATATGTATATAAATGGCAATTATTATCGGCAATTTGTTATTATTAACATCTTAATGTTTAGTGCACCGGACTCAGAAGGATCGATGAAGAAGTGCCGGTGAAAAACTTTGTCAATGGACGGGGCGGCCCTTACGGGGAAGACTTTTTGAAAGCTTGACGGGATACGGGATGATGATAAGACAAGAACTGCATGAGGCGAAGCCCACGGGGAGCTAAAAGCAGTCCATCGCCCACCTCTGCTATTCATTAGTTATAATAACTGTCGGAGTTGGAAGACTCTACCAAACGAGAAAAAAAATTCACTGCAATGTTCTTTCTTTAAGATATGGTTTTGCTGCTGGAGTACGTGGTGCACCTGCTGGTTGTGAATTTATCAACGACGCTTGCAGAGCAGTTTTAGTTAAAAAAGGCAATCACTCAGAACTATGTAGTGCTGCCACTGCAACATCTTCAACAGCGTCCGCAAAGGGTGGTAAAGGCGCTAATCGTCGACCAACTAAAAACTAACAAAACGATTCTTTTGAACAAAGCTTTTCTCTAAAATTATCTGTTAGAGGTAATGTTTTGATTCAGAACTGGTAATGTATGCGATTTTCGTTTTGTTAAATTTTAAACCGAATTTTAACTGACTTGGCATACTTTTTTCTCAATAACAAATAAAATAGTCAAAATCGCGAGTGAAGCGTGATCAACCTCACTATCTCACTGAGGTCTCATATTCTGTAACCGTCTTTTGAAGTCGACTCTGGAGGGATCATCCATACGAAGTTGCCTATGCGTTACTGGATTTTTCTGTTATTTCTCCTCTTTCTTTGGTTCTCGTTTTTACTGGCACCACGTTTTATTACTTTCGATTCATATGAACTATTTATTCTCGTTAACGCAGAGTTGAATTTACAATTTTTACAAAGAAAAAAAGTCGATAAAATATTATTTTTGCATGAATAAATAAACATGGGTAAGAGTATAGACTGGAAAAGCAAATAAAAGACTTATAACCAAATTGAAGTTTTTCTAATCCGTTTAGAATACACAACAGACTGTTGCATTTCATCACTAACAACTATTATTAGTTTCTTTTTCAATCTCTGTTATTCGAAGATAGAGACTGATCCAGCAAAATCTTGTTCAAAAATGACTGTTGGATATTTTTTTAACACATCTTTATTAAAAAAAGATAATTCTTTTTGTATACAAAACACAATCCTACAATAAAATTTCCTACCTCTTCCAATTAATTTTAAATCAGTTGTGAGGTTTCTGGTTAGACACGAAACAAGAAGTCCTTTCATTGATTTCAATATTCTCGCTTTTCAGTTGTGAATGTAAACGAGGTTCAGAGGTCTTTCAATCAACTACTGATCCGTACTACTTAGTTCAACTGGATTGTTTGACTAGTTGTGTGAAATTAGATGATTCTGCTAAAGCAAAAACTTTTTTTCCAGCAACTGTCCATGGGTGAATGTTTCACGGGATACCCTGTCTTCATAAATTCAGTTTCATAAAATTTAGGAAACTTGAATGTTGAATTTTTTAACCCACAAGTTTCATAAAAAATTTAATATGGCTCTCAGAAAAAACTTTTTTTAATTAATTAGCACCTGTCCCCGAGAGAAACCTATGGTTGTTAATTAAATTGGTTTAATTGATGAATTAAGGTAACTGCATATGTCTGTAAGAGGATTGTTGTAGTATATTAGTATAAGCCTTATAGCGACATACGTTGAACAGTAGGAATAATGATCATAATTTTATTATTTCTAAGTAAAAGGCACAATATGTCTCTGAGCAACGTAGAGATCTGTGAAAGCGTGATTCCTAGTCCTTTTAAAATAAAACAGTTTTTATCCAATGGATTTAGTTAGAAAATGTCCTTGAGCGACTCATAACCCACAGAGTTACGCATATCTCTCCCACTCAAATACGCGAATATATCTGATACCAACTCGCTACGCTTCTTAATAGACAAACGCTCCAATTTAAGAAAGTAGGCACACAGCGACAGTCATACTTTAAACTAATAACTATACTAACCTTTATTACTATTCAACAGAAAATATTTTTTACACAAAACATGTTTTTCTAATACACGCTTGAATTTACCTTCTACACTTTCACAATAAAGGCACAATTTTTTATTCGTTTAAAAGAGTTTGGACATGTCTCTAAGAGGTGCTCTTGGAGACTTATGTCTTTATTTGAATCAGTCTACGTCTCTAAGCAACTCATACCTATCTTCGTGAGATATTAGCACCTCTATCTGGTTGAGTCACTGTGTCTCTACGAGTCTCACATAGCACCTAGAGAGACATTAATACTGTTTTTAATTAAATAAATCAATATTTTCAATTAAAACACCACAACCACACATCTACACTGTGACATATGCCAATTATATAATGTTATATATCTCTATGTGACATATTAATACTACAATTAATTAAGGAACTAATTAATTAAACCTGAAACAACATAAATCACATACTTGTGAATTTATGAAATTTGGAAACAAGTTTCATACAATTTAGGAAACTCAGATGTTGAATTTTTTAACCCACTAGTTACATAAAAATGAAACATTTATGAAACTTGTAAAAAGTTTCATAAATGTGTGATTTATGAAGACAGGATAATCCTGTTGTATCACTCATCACAAATCGCGTCGAAATCACCCACCAAAAAAAGGATCAATGGACTGGAGCACTCGATTACCTATGTGTCGACATTTTTTAGTTCAAAAAAGCCAAAGTCCTCGGTTCATATACCATTTTGTTCAGTTTTTCATTGGCTATTTTTCTATATCTAGCTTTATCGTAACTTCATATTAGATTTTGAACAGAATCGTTCTTGTTAAGCGCCGATATCCTTTATGCATCACCTCAGAAAAGTTAATTTAAAAGTTCTCCGTGTGGTTATGACGGCCCAGATAAACTGAAAAAATGTGTAAAATTGCTTTCTCTATAAAATCATAAAACTCAGAAGAATTAAAATATCATTACATTAATTAAAAATATCATTACGAAAACTTCATTTTCTAGGAAAACAACGATCAAAATTAAAGCTCAGCATAAAAAATCTAGTTTTCAGCTTATTTAAAGAAGTTTCTTTTTCTGCACAAAAATTCATCTTTCGTCCACCGTTAGTCACTTCAAAACGGTGAAAACACCTTTGAAGAATTTGTCTATCTTTGAACTAAAGAGCGCTGCTTGTGTATAACGGTGAGTTTTTATGAACGAATCAGCATAAACTACTAGACAATATATTAATCTCGAAGAAAAAATATTAATGTTCCACAAGGTATACTGTCACATCTTCGATTATTAGATACAAATGCCAAAACCGTCATTAGCATCATGCGCCATATGTTTCTTCGTCTAAACAACGGGCGCTCGATTCGATATGCTCACATCCGATCTGACAACGTCGGCTGTTACCCCGGATCCCAATCTGTACTCTTTGTTAAACAACTGTATGAAGAAACGGTATTTGGATCAAATCAATCGATTACTCTGATCCTCAAGATGGCTGAGGACCATGCAATCGAATAATGGCTGTCGTCAAATGCAACATTCGACGTTTCATCGACGAGAAAAACAATTGCACAAATGCCATCGGATTTGTAAATGCTGGTGATAAGGTTCTGAAATATTTGTGTTCTTACTCTTATTTTTCACGCCTTTTATTTTTCATTTAGCCTCTAGGAAAAGTCTTAAAATTCAAGCCACTGTAATATCAAATTCAAATGACGAGAAAGCCGAATGGAAGCATATTAAGCAGTTCAACAATATCGAATACAAATAGTGTATGACACAAGACCAACAGCATCGAACAAACCGCCAAAATCTCGATATGAAATTCGTGTATGGCGATCATGGAAAGTTGGCAAGGGACCAGTCTTTTCAAAAGTACAGTCACAAATATCAGTCCATTGACATCCATCGCCTCATCGATACCAGAGATTCTGTGGATCACGAATAAGAACGATAAGTTTTTCTTTCAGTCTTGAAAATACTTTATTCGAGCTTTCGCCAGCTTTCAGTTGGCATCATCAGGAATGTAATAGACATTCGAACAAACGATGGTATAAAAAGAAGCGAATAATTATTCGTTTCTTTTTATACCATCGTCTATTACATTCCTGATGATGCCAACTGAAAGCTGGCGAAAG